CAATTGTAATGGATTGAAATGATACGTAGGACAATTAATTTTATAAAATTTTAGGAATAACAATATTAATATTAAAATATTGTATATTAGTTTCTGATTTTATTTTAAAAAAAAATAAATAAATAACACCCATCCCTGATGATGACCCACATGTTTGGATTGAAACGTCGGCACTAATGAAAACTTTATAATGACTGCGTCCTAAATATTTATCACTCATGATATGTAAAACAGTCGGATAACTTCCTTCAATAATTTAAATGTTGTTTTAAAATTTTAATTAGGAATATATATTTAAATAAACTAAATATATCCTTCTCTCAAATTCATGAAAATGACATATGAACGCCTTTGATATGAAGATACTAATATAAGTTCGTGCTCTCGTATGCTTCTATGAACTTACCAATTTTCTCGACTGGGAAGTGAAACATAACCATGCAAAGGTTAGGGGAAAGAAGGTCGCCCATCCAGATACCATCCAATTGCCACTAAAGAACAACCTTTTAGAAAGAAGACATTTAGGCAGGTATCAGTTGGCGTTCACGGACGAGGAGTTCCCTCCCACCTGCATCAGAAAACCATCTGGGCCCCGCCTATCGCGCTTCTAATGCCCTCTTATTGGTTAATGGGACGTTACGACCCCCTCCCCCCATTCCTCTGCACCCGCGAACAAATTACCTGTACCAGTCCTGGGGCATAAATCAGGAGAGCGTATGCCCCGCGATGCCGAGGAATACCTGTTCATGCGGCGGCAATGGCTGAGTCCCACAGCTCACGCCATCCATCACTATTTCTATAGATGCTGTCTGGGACTCGGCACTCCGAATGGGACGGTAATTCCAGCAGGCTCTTCTTACGTAGATTCTGAGATCAAGAACCTGCAAGAACCATTTTGCCCTGTTCTGGAAGTAAATAAATAATTTATTTAATAAAAATAAAGAATAAAAAAAAGATAAATGAATATAATTTTAGGAATTTTATTACAAATTTATATTTATTAATCAGATCTCAGCGAAAAGTATTTTAATTATTTTAAAATATTTTGTTTTCTTCAAATACATTGTACTTTAATTACAAAGCATTTAAATTGTTTTCAGAAAAGGTATTTAAAATACAAAATACCAAAGGTATTATGACCAAAAAAGGATAAATAAAAAGATAATAAAATAGCTTTTAATAAATATAATTTTCTATCGGAACCTTTACTTGCTGGTTTTACTAGCCTTTCATTTCTAAAGAGATAATTATAGAGAATATAAGTTACTTACCCATTATTTGGCCATGCTTAATCATTTATTCTACCATGCATAGCTCAGGTGAGAAGGGGTTAGGTTGGATATTTTTATAAAGCAGCAAAAAAAAAAATTAAGAAATCTTATTAAAGTTAAATAATTATACAAGCTAAAGAAAAAAAATAAATTGAAAAACAGATAATTTTAACATAATTCCTATATATAATTAAAGATAAATATGAACATACTTAAGATAACAAAAATAACCAAAAAATACTTATTTTATATACAACAATATGGCAAGCCACATATAAACATCAAGAAACGAAAGTCAAGATAAAAGATATCAGAGCGCATGCACATGCTAAAAAAAAAATTAATAATTCGTCACAGGAAACAAAAGAGACAAGAGTTCTATTTTTTTTTTCAATGCTTCCTTAATCTTGGTTACAGTATATAAAAACGAAATACAATTACGAAATATCTTAATTTATTTTTATATTATAAATTAAGGCTTTTATTTCTTCACCATATTTATTTAAATTTACATAGCTACGATTCGGCCGGTAAACCTTCTTCAAGACATTTTATCCAACCATCCTTTTTGACTACAAGCAAACAGCACAGACTTATTTTATTATATTAAAAAATTGTCACCTTAAACAAGCACATATGGATTTTTATGTTCTCACTGCTGGTGATCCCGACACAACGTCCTAACCATATTGTCTGCAGTTAATCATTTATTCACCAGTAGGATACAATAGTTTTTAAACAATTTGGAAATTTATTTTAGTAATAATTATCTTTTACAATTTAGAAATAGAAATAGAAATAGAAAATGATCATTATCGCTCAGGGACTAGATCCCTCAATAATAACAGTTTTGTTCATATAAATTAACAATAAATCTGGTCAAAAGACCTATTACAAACAAAATACTAGTAATAACTTAAGTATAATAGCTCTTAAGATATATAAACGAGAACAGTTGGGTAATATTGTTTCAATAATACAATATTGGAGCTAAAACAATAGCATAATAATCACTAAATGAAATCAAAGAGGAACACAAAATCAATTTTATAGGCAAAGCATTGCAGCGACATGAATTTGAAAATTTAAAAAAAATCTGTAGATATATACAGAAATAAATTGTAAAAAAAAAAAAAAAAGTGTTCCCACTTATGTTCCATAAGATGTTTAAGCGAATACACGTAAATATTAGGAGAAGAAAAAAATAAAACAAAGTGTATATATACACACACTTAGAGAGGAGTGTGTTAAAGATAAGTAGAAAATAAAATACAATTCAAAGAAATACAATATCATGAATAGAAAATTTACGTTCAACACAGAATAAAAAAAAAAGAGAAAAAAAATAATGATAAAGAAAATTAAAGCCTTATTACATAATATATATTTAGCGTCTAATTGGATTGTGAAGAGGAATTGGAATAAGAGGATTTTAAACGTGGATAAGGATGATGCATGGGGGATTTTTAGTGGGATGGAATTCCAGAATGCAGTAGAACGGACAACGAAGGAATGTTTAAATGATACGTATCTGTGGAAAGGGGTATAAATGTCAGAAGGACGAGATCTTTTGGAGAGGGTGTGGATAGATGATTTGAATTGTAATGATTTAAATGTATGATATGAATTTTCCTAAAATCTTCAGCTTTCCAACGATATATTATGCACATATATTTTTACACTCATTTCCAGAAAATTGTTTACCACCTTGAAAATGTTTCTCTTTTTTTATCCTATTGTTAACTATCAAATTCTTTAATAGTTTATATATTTAGCTATTTTTTATTATTACGAAAGACTGTTTATTTTTTCAATTGAAAAATTATAACATACATGTTTTATATTTGCATTTTAAGAAGTAATTTATAAAATAGATTGTTCATAAACTACATTTAATTTTTTAAATACAAACGATAATAAAATATGTATTTTATTTTTTAGTTTTAATTCAAAAAATAAATTACCAAATAGAATAGGTCCCCTATATTATAGGCTGATCAAATATTTTATACTTGTATTTTTTAGTGGCTCAGAAAGAAACCTCTACTATCGATTTTTTGTGCTTAAATAAACCCCAGTAATGATTATATTTACACATTAGTAAATATTACAAAATATTTACAAACGTATCCAAAAATTAGACAATCAATAAACCATCTTTCAATATTTGAATATATTTGTCAATGTTTCTTAAATAATATGGAAGAGATAGGGAAGATACGAAATATACGTTATATTAACTATTAACCAATCATCTTCGAATTACAATTTTTAATAAATCCCAAGAACATTATAAACTTTATTTTTCCTATCGAAAAGTGTTAGTCTACCAGTTTCATATTTCTGTAAAATTAATTTAAAGCTATTAAGATTCATCAAAATCTTTTAAAAATAATAGGAACAAAAGAATTAAAAAAATTATTTTTTTTATATTATTTTTAAGTTGATACGTTGGAAGATGCAATGAAAATAATAAATATAAGAAAGTAAAAAAAAAATGTGTAGTAGTAATAATAATAATAATAATAATTTGTGTTATTAAAAACTTTTATGAAGATTACAAAGCATAAAATTATATACTTTCAACGATATAAACTTAGATTGCTTAAAGTAATATATAGAATTAAACCATTCTTTAAGCTAATATACCTGTGTGACATCTTATACCTTTGACTTCATTAAGAATGTAGAGGTTTAAAATGACACAAAGCTTTATTAGGTTTTAAAACGACTACGTTTTAGTTACTCTTGAGAGGTAGGAATTGTTATATCAAGATTCCAAAATGTCTATATAATTATATTTTAAATAATTTTTATTGTAATTTACACTTGTCTTAGGAAGCTCTGCTTCTATATTACAGAGAAGCTATTTTTTATTAGAAGATATTAAAAAATATATATGATCTGAAAATTTTCACTCTTCAGACATCAAAGAACACATATGTTTTTTGCTTGTAGTCAAGTTCATTTGGTAGGCACGTAATCTGTCAACGTTAATTCCAATCTGATGATTTTTTAATTATTATTACAACAATTGTTATTTATTTTAACACACACTTAGTTTTTTAGTTATTATTTTACTTTTGTTAATTTTATGTTTTCTGTATGTATGGTGTGAATGTGTTAAAATCTCACAATCATTATTGTTCGTGTGACAGATTGTTATATTTCTGAATAAATAAATTTTTAAAAATTTTGCAAGCGGCCAACATTAATTTAGGAAACAAAGATATTCTGTTGCTAATAATCAGTGTTGCCCAAAATTGGTCTTAGTCTTGCACTTTGCACCAAGGACGCTTAACTGTTGCAAGACCAAGACCAGGGACTGGTAAAAATATTTAAATAAAAATAGTTACTAAAACTTCACAATCTTAGTTACTATATGTTAATAATTGGTATAACCAATATACTTTTGTATTTAACTCCTCTAATTTTTCATTTGGGCTTAGTTACGTTTCTACTCTCTAAAGAGTTACAGTGATATCTCTATAGTAATAAGCTAATAAGTAACTGTAAGACTGTTGCGAGACTTGCGCAAGACCAAGACCAAGACCAAGACTCGTCTCTGTCTCCCATTTGGGCAACACTAGTGAGGTCAGGAAGAAATAAAGAAAATCGTAATATATATATGTATATATATATATTATTATAACTAATGTTTTTATTGTAGTATATTGTTACAAACCACAATAAAATTTGGTATAAAAAAAATCGATTTTTTAAATAAAAATTGAGGCAAAATAGTTACTAGTACTCGAAAATTTTAGTAACTAAATGTTAATAATGGGTATAACTAATATACTTTTACATTTAACTCCTCTAATTTTTCATTCAGGTTTAGTTAAGTTTCTCCTATATAAAACATTACAGTAATATCTCTATAGAAATAAGCTGCTAAGTAACTGTAAGACTGTTGCGAGACTCTTATGCAAGACCAAGACCATGACCAAGACTGAGTTTGCAAGACCAAGGCTCGCATTGGGCAACACTAGTGAGGTTATGAATAAATAAAGAAAATCGTAATATATATATTATTTTTATGTTATTCTATTTAATTTGTGTAAATATTATGCAAATGTTTTTTTTTATTGTATTATTGTGCAATATTTCTATTAAATATTGTGCGAATGCTTTCTATTTGAATCGTAAGATAACTTGAGCAACTTAGCACTTGACTCTTGCCCAAGACCAAGACCATGACCAAGACTGAGTTTGCAAGACCAAGACTGTTCTCGGTCTCGCATTTGGGCAACACTACTAATAATTGACACCATTACTCTCCATCTACTACTCCAGGCTCAAAATATATCGTAAGGATTATATGAAAAAATTTAAATTTCTCATCTAAAAAATTTATGTATTATTGTTAGTGAGTTAATTATAAAAATAATGATTAGTATATGACCTTTATTACTTATGATAAAAATTTAAAAAATCGCTCTTAATAATATATTTTTTTTTTGGAGTGCTACCAATGGGTAGTTTCTCTTCATGTTGTACATGACATGTTACTTATTTCATATTTACTAGTTGTATTTATCATTTAATTCGGTTGTAAATGATAATAATAAAAATGAAAAAAAAAGTCAGTTTAATATCGATTTCAAACTCTGAATTCTAAGGATTTGAAACAAGGAGAGGGAACTCCAAACCAAAAGCAAATTTCTTGAAATTTTCAATAACTATTAACATTTATGATGAAAATTAGTTGTCAACTTTTAACTCGTATTTAAATCTCTATAGTTCTCGAAAAGTATCAATAAATACATAAAGAGATCCTGTTAAAATATATATTTTTCTTCTTCGTTGTATTTTCATATGTTATATCTTTTTTTAGGCATATCCCTTTTTTCCCTGCTACAATGGATCAGAAAACTTATTGTTAGAAGGGAGATATAAAAGGATTTCTGTAAAAGGAAAAAAAAAAAAGAAAAGGGTTTCTCTTGGATATCTGACAGTCCGGTATTGACAGGATCCGCCGGTTTAACGTTTCAATCGCCAGTCTGGGCGAGATCCTCTTTCTGTAAACTCCACTGTAACAGAATATTATATTCTACTTTCCCGATATGGAAAATATTATATATGTCTTTCCATATTCACTTTAATATATAAATATCCTTAGTAGCATTATTTTAGAAGCATATATGCGTCATTCGTCAATGCTATTATAAAACCAACCTCCACACAAAAGCCGGAACTATATGGGATCAGCACACTAACACATCGAGTAGAATGACCAATAAAGAGCTTGCTATGTATTGAACATAGTCTAATATTGATTAATAATATTTAAAAATAATTTCTAACACCTGGGCGGGTACCTGAGACCCCCGACCCAACCTTTTGTAAGTGGTAATAGAAACCCTGAAGAACCCCAAGAGACCGACAACATTCTCACGGCTGAGTGTTTAAACAGGATCCAAATTACCATTAACACCTTCCAGAAAGACCTTTCACACCTTCCTCCAGAAATACTTAAAATATACCTGATTAGTGGAATACCTTGGCCTGGGGGAGAGGGCGTGGTCGTCCCTTAGGCTAAGAATATTCAGCAAAATCAGAAAAGACTACCAAAAGAGAGGGGATGAAGAAAGGTGGGAAATATAGGACTACGACTAAGACACTTCTTTTTGGGACTCAGCTGAGGACAGCTGGATGAGGAGATGCTGATAGAGGAGATGTCGGATGGACTGCCCGGCATAGAAGAGAGATCTGATATGGAGAGCCGGCTTGGAATCTGATGTTTTCTTCTGGCTGGAGGACTGTTTTCTCCTGAACCCCTACCTGAACAATGATGATCTAAGACATGATTTGAAAGATGCAGCGATGACATCTGTCAAAATCCACTACTTCGCATAACATATTAGATAAGTAATTCCCAACAATTCCTTTAAAGATGTTTAAATATTTAATGGCAATGTAATTTTAAATTCCATCCATGTGAATCATGCCTTCGCAACCAATTGTTTGGTTCATTAATTTTTGTAAATGTAATGTATATAACATTCTTTATTATATAATTTGTAAATAAATAGAATATGTAAATAAATGTTATTTTAATCATGCCACCTATTGATATCATTAAAAGCACAGGTAATGTTTGGTAATTAGAGAACAGATAAACACACAACAAGCCTTTGTGAGAAGTAATCCAATAAATTAATCAAGGACCAATATGTCAAATGACATAATTTGTTTAACTAATATATTTTATTAATTAATTCTGGATAATTATCCTCAATAGTTATCCAGTGGCATCCCATTAAAATCTACAAAAACCAAATTGACACGTAGCAAGCTGCTTACTGGCCAGTCAATATCCCAGTATATGAAGGCAGGGATGTTAAAATGGCAGGGGCATGTAACTCGTAGAAATCCATGCAATAGCCTCTATGCAACAATGAATGCCTCAATAGAAGGCAAAAAACCACATGGAAGGCCAAAAATCAGGTGGATAAATATAATCAACAAAGACGCAATAGATCTGCGTGCAGATAACTGGAAAGAAATAGCCTTAGATGGAGAAGGCTTGTTAAGTCTGCAAAAGATCTTCAAAATCTTTAATGCTAAGAGAAAAAAAAATGGATTGTTCTTTATATTATAATGTCTCGGATATTTTCATTCGTTTTTGAAATGATTTTTGGTTTGAAAATATCGTATTAATATTTTAAAAGGAATGAAGCGGTTATATTAAAATAAGTCTATCTCAACTACAAGAAGAAATAGTTAGCTAGTATAGTTTCTTTTATTTGTCTAAGAAAATTCCTTTACAAATAAATATAATGATATAATTAACAATGTTAGAACTTGAGTCTAGTACTGCATTCAAACATAACATTAACAATGTCCACAGCATTAAGTATGACTAATATAATAACAGATTAGTAAACGATATATATATATATATATATATATATATATACATAACAATTAGTAAAACATTTTTTTTTTCAATAATACATTTTTTTTTAATATTCCAGAGGTATAAGACAAATGACAATATAAATAAGCATTAATATATGTTATATGATTAACTTTACCACTTAACAGTTCAATGAACAGCCCTGTATGAAATAATACAGTTGGTTTATTTTTTTCGTAGTGTCTATTTTCAGTATCTCCTCCACACTAGCATCTTCTCTGGATTCAGTGATAAATGCCTTCAAGTACTTATTTCTTGGCTCGTTGAACTTGATACATTGGATCAGAAAATGAGTTACCGGGTCAGTTACAAGGCAGTTGCATGCACCACATACCTCACTGGATTTAATAGTCAAAGTAGCATCTTTTAAGTATATTTTCATAAAATCTTTACTTGCTACTCTGAGACGACTAACGGCTCTTAATTTGTTTAAATTCAGAGCCCTGAACTGAAGATAATCCTCTGGTCTGGTAACATTAAAGGAGCAGATTTTTCTATATCTTGGGTTTGATTTAGAGTTTAACACTCTGTCGATGTCCTTGGATGCGTGATGGTTTCTTATTTTTTCCATGATTTCATCTTTGAACCTCATCAGACCTTGGAGGAAAACACACGAAAACAGCCTCTGACATCCCAGTGCCGCCACAATCATCTTTACTTGGGTAGCCCAGTTATAAGTTGGATCAGGTTTTCCAATGGATGAGTCTAGAGCTCTAAGCCTATTAAAGCATTGTCTAGGTAGTCTGTCGTCACTCATTAAGCTTAGCTTTGTCCAATAGTTGATCACTTTTTTCAACACTTCAACACTTGATGGAGATCTTCCACTTTCAAGCAACATAGTTCGGTGTATTTCTTGGCCAATGGAGCAATCACTTGATAAATCGAACTTGCGTCCTCTCCAAAACCAAGAAGAAATATCATGGTATATATAAAAAAAAATGTAACGTTACATTTTCTTTTCCTTCTATTGAGGAGTTATTATGTAGAGGCTCTCACATAGATTGCTACGAACTACCTGCCCCGCCCATTTTAACCTCCTTGCCTTCATATTATTATAAATAGATTCATGATTATTTTTAAAATGTTTGTATTTTTTACATGATTTTTATTAATGCTTACTAATGAATAAAAAATATTCAAGAAACAAATCAAAAGAGTTATAAAAAGTTCAAAAATGCAAATATATATATATTTGTATAAGAAAGTATTAAAATTTCAATAAAAGAATTGACCAGTGGCGGGTTAAAAAAGTAACTATGTTTCGAAATACCATCATATAACAGTTAAATTCTCTAAACCGAACAGGAGCGAAAAGTATAATATTATACTAAAATACCCAGAATTTTGTGTTTTTAAAATACAGTATATGTTAATTAACAAGTTGCCTAGCGACCAATGAAAAAAGTACTTATGATTCGAACTACTATCATGTAACAGTGAAATTCTCCATATGTGAGTAATAATCGACACAGATAGTTTCATAGCTTCATTTAAAAGCATTTCGCATTTGAAATAAGTCCGTGCCATCTTGAGCAATGAAACTATCTGTGTCGATTATTACTCACCCATGCAGAATTTCACTGTTACATGATAGTATTTCGAATTATAAGTACTTTTTTCATTGGTCGCTACGCAAGAATTATATTTTTGGAATGAATTTAAATACTACATAATTAAAACAAACTGCATTTTAAAAAAACAAAATACTTGGTATTTTAGAATAATATTTAAAATACTTTTCGCTCTCGACTAGTTTACAGAATTTTGGTGTTATAGCATGGTATTTCGAAATATAATTACATTTTCAACACGTCATTGGTCGCTCTTTCATAAATCCACTGACGGATCTACTGGGGGGAGAGAGGAGCCTTCCGGGCTGAGGAACCTCCCAAAATGGTAAAATATAAACATGTAAATAAAAAAAATGAAATTAATTATCTCTAAAAGTATTATTCTTCATTTAATCACATTTAAATGAACTTACAGAATCACTTAAACACCATTTCATGTAGGTACTTATTTTCTTCCGAAGTAATACATACGGATATATCGTCATACATAAAAAAAAATATATTTCGGGCTGAAGTCCACCTAAAATTAACTCCGTAAATGATAATCCAGTCTAGCAGCTCCTTGAGACAGGGATATACACTCAATTATTCTAGAATCTGTAGATTATAGTATCTTTCTACTCCAGCACCCCTCCACCACTCTGCCATCCCCATAACCGGTCTCAAGGCCTTTTTCTTTTCTCACGATCCCGTCTCATTCGCGTCTGTTGTTGCGTTAAAAATACTTATGAGAGTTTTCTTGACGTACGATAGATATAGCCGTAGGTTTGAAGAAGCAGGATCTTTTTCCTGTGCTTCTAGTTTAGTTCTATATCCACTAGGTAAAGAATTACTGCAAAAGTAAACATTGGTTTGAACACTACGAAATTGTTTTCATTTTTTGAAAATACAACAAGTAAATGTGACATTGGTAACATTACATGTACAGCATGAAGAGAAACCAACCATTGGTATAACTCAAATTAAAGTTCTATATTAGAAGGTCCCGAAGCCATCTTCTTTTCAGACGCCTCAGAGGGTTATCATGGATCGAGGTAGGAAGCAAGGTTTGAAACGAGACTGTTCGGATGGTTCTGCAGTTTGTTATGGAAGGATAGGTATCTGAATTGGGTCAAATCGGAAACATATGGAACATTAAGCCCTTTATGGATGATTTTGTTTGTGATAGAGTAAGGAGCGTTGAGGATTTTACAAAGGATTTTGGATTGTAAGGATTGGATTCGAGAGGAATTCGATGGTTTGGTGGAGCCCCAAAACTCAATTCTGTAAGTCCAAATAGGTCTTATTATTGTCATATATATGAGTCGTTTGTAATTGATTGAAAGCTTAGAGCGTTTGTCTAGTAAGTGTTGGAGTAGTCGGAAACGTCGAGCGGTTTCTTGTCGTTTCAGTCTTGTATGAGGATTCCATGTGAGTCGTTTGTGTGGAGTCCTAGGTAACGAATTTGTTCAACTGGGATAAGTGGAGAATTGTTGAAGGATACTGTAGGACAGGAGGTCATGCGACGCAGGATAAAGGTAATTTGATAGGATTTATTGGAGTTTATTTTAATCCTCCAGTTTTGACACCATTCTTCAAGACTTATGATGTTTGATTGGAGAGTTTGGGATGCAATAGATGGGTCGTTGTTAACTGATAGGATACACGTGTCATCGGCATAACGAAAAAAATTAAAGAAGAGTAATTCACTGTATAACTGTGTAATCATCCAATACACGCCTGGGCAAGCAATCGTGTAATCGTACTGTATTTACTTGTAAAAATTGTGCTCACGGAAATTGTTTGTCTGAATAAACATTTTATTTAAAGTTTTTATAATTAGAATATTTTTATTTTATTATTTATTATTACATTGTCTGATTGAACAATTTTTTTTTCAAGTTTTTATATTTAGAATATTTGTATTTTACTATTTATTCTTACATGGTCTGATTGAACAATTTATTTCAAGTTTAATGCTTTCATATAAAATGTATATTTGTATTTTTTAACTTCTTATAACTTTTTTGATTTGTTTCTTGAATATATATTTTTTTCATTAATAAACATTAATAAAAATCATGTCAATAAATATAAAAATTGTAAAAATAAATTATGAATCTCATATTTTTAAAATAATTCTGGTGATGTGGAGAAAAGTCCCTCTAGGTCACCAATAACGAGTTAATGATAAAATTATTTATCTCAAATATTTTGATTGTGAATGGGGAATGAGTCATGAGTCATTGATATCAGCTATCTGTGTAATCTTCAGGTATAAAAGAGCTGGCCGCATTAAAATATCACGAAAACTATGCACAACGAGTTTTACCATTATTATAATTGATATTGTTTCATTAATATTACGAATGATAATTGCAAAATAAATAATTTGGAGACATTAATTTAGGGATCGATCTTTCAAATCTGCCAAATCAAATTTATTCAAAAAATGTTAAAGTAACGAGTGTGAGCTTTGCCCAAAATTGCATGCTCGGACCGAAAATGGTGATTTTATATGAAAATGTACCATTTGTTACTTCTATTTACTTGTTCAAGACACAAAAAGAATTAATTAAAAAAAATCTATCATGACTTAAAATATAAATATTAATTTTTATGTATACTTTTTCCTTATTACATTTCAACAGTTTGAATTGCCTTTTACTTTATTCTGCGTAACCTGACTTTGTTATTCGAGGCAATTTTCATCTTTTATATTATTAATTGAATAAATGAATAAATGCAAAAATAATTTTATTCTGAAACTAAATTCCCTATAGAACAATAACAGAGTTTAAAAAAAAAACAAGTATTAAATTAATTAAGTATTCCGTATTAATTAGGTTTTAGCTTAATTATGTAAGTATTTACTCTAAATTTTTCTTGAAAATATTTGTACGTTTGATTAAAAATTAACATAATCAAGATTTATTTTCTATAAATTTAATGTGCATTCTATGATTGATACTGATAAAAATTCCCCCCAAAAAAGATAAAGATAAACAAATTGAAATCAATTTACGTATTACTCACTATTTATCTAATTTAAAAATTTGTAAGTTTCTGATTGGTTTTCTAAGCTATAAAATGGCTGTTAAGAATTATTTTACTTCATACAAGACCTCAGCAAAAAGTATATTAACTATTATTTTAAAATCCAGTATTTAAGATACCATTCATTTCATGTTTTTTAAGTACAGTGTATTTTAATTACAAAGCATTTATAAATCGTTTCAGAAATAGTATTTCAAATACAAAATAACAAAAGTATTTTTAATTTTATTTATAAGTAACAAATTACAAAAACAAAATACTTACTGGTGGCCGAACAGCCTATAATAAAGGAAACCTACTTCATTAAGTAATTTATTTTTTATATTTGAAATACTCAAAATATAGTACATTAATGGTATTTTAGTACCTTAAAAATAAAATATAAATACTTATTCAGTATTTAAAAACGAAACATATAGTATGTTACACAGATTTAAACAGTCACAATATATTTTATATTTTACAAATACAAAAAAAAAGTATTTTATTTTGTATTTTAAAATATATCATTGGAAATACTGTCTGAGTTTGTTCCATGTAGCCGTTTCTTTGCGCAGTAACACTCAGCAAAACTACATATCAAAATTAAAAAGAAAATGTATATACATAAACTAACGCTGCACATATATATTTTCTTTTTTTGATTTTGAAACGGAGTTTTTCCAAGAGTGCTACTGCTAAAAAAAAGGAAGATGAATGGAACAGACAGTATTTTGAATGAAATGTTTTAAAATGTAAAATTATATATATATATATATATATATATATATATATATATATATATATATAAAGAAAGATAAATAGATAGGAAATTAAATAGATAGATATATCACATATCTATCTTATGCGGGACAAAAGCAAAGAATCATCCTGAAAGAAAAGCCTGGAACATACAGACAGGACAAAAGACGGCTATTTACTGGAAGCACTGGGAATTAATCCTTCCTCCAGTACAACCCCGGTCACTGTTTGTCATTGGAGAGGTGGCCATTCCTTATACGGCCCTCTGTCCTTCGAGGATATCCTTCATCCGGATCTTCTTGGTCCTGGGGAGAAGAATAGGAGAGGGGAGAGCTGTACTCGATGAATATTCAAGGCCAAGACAGATCGGCCGACACTAAATAATATACAGTTCGCATTCAAAGAAATA